TGTGCGGGAGTGGTTATCGCTGATTTGGCGGCATTGGCGTGAGAGGAGGGCCTGGGATTGGGGGGGGCAGGGTGGGGGGTGATAGTTGCTCTTGGAGTTGGGGTTGGAGGGGGAGCAGGGGGAGCGGGGGGGGCCGGGGTATTACGGAGTTGGGAGTTGATACTATCGAGGCGGTTGAGGATGCGGGGGTCGGGGGAGCGCTGGTGACGGCGGACCTCCTCTTGGAGGTCCTCGTGGTCTTGTTGGAGGGAGGCGATATCGCCTGCCATGGTTGTGTTTTGTTTGGCGATGCCGCACAGGAGGGTGATGACGAGTCTGGTTTCGTCCGAGGTATTGGGGTTGGCCAGAATGGCGATGGTAAGGGCGGAGAGGGCAGTATTGTTGGCTACGCCTACAAGATCTTGGTCGAGGTTGCCAATTCCAAGGGCGTCCAGGGCCTTGGTCATGTCAGGGGTGGGGCTTGGCATTTTGAAGCCTGAGTTTTACAGAGTTTTTGGTGGGGAATGTTGGTTGCCACGCAAGGTTTTGGCGGTTATTTTTCGAAAAATAAATGAATAGCGGAAGAGAAGGATGGGAAGGAGTTCCCTCTACATATGCATTGTATATTTATTTAATCATGATACTCATAATCCAACAACTCGCGGTCGCGAGGTGGCACACCTCTAGTTAATTGTACTGAGTGGTGTTAGGTTAACATATTTTCTACTGGTTCTGGAAATCGATTAGTAGTTCGATTTTAGCGACTTGGTGGCTATTAAAGGGATATACTTGCGGCTTGAACTGCTGATATATAGGGGATATCAGAAAAGGCAAATATTGACCAGAGCAGATCTAGATATAGTGATGGACTTTGCCTGCCAGGCAAATAGAGAAAACAAGCCGCAAAGCGGCTTGCCTGTATATCGGACCGACCGATACACATATAGTACCGGCCGAAGGCCGGAAACTACTTGTATGCATGTATGTATGTACAGATAGTGAAATATCAGCATTTCTAAGAGCCGTATAAATCAAAGTAAAAGTCTGTAGAAGGTAGAAGCCCTCACGAATCGCAAAAAGCGGTTAACCGAGCACAAATGTCTCTTCCGCAAAACAGAGTTTGCCGTTGCAAATTTGTCATACAAATCTTCCCACCGAAACTTCGTTTTGACCTGCAGCCGAACAGGCCCTTAATTACAATATATACTACAGAAATTTAACCAGCTCTCGTCATTATACACAAAATCATCATGACCACCAAGTTCCCAGTAGTACTCGCCACCATGAACACCGTCAATATGATTAACTATCTCCCCAGTGTTTTCCGCTATGCTCGCTTTCCACCCGTGCTGCGGGTCAGTCTCGTCTACCTCGGCGTTCCCCCCAGCTGGATTGCTCGTTTGCTTAGGCTCATTGGTTGATTGAATCATCAGATCGTTTCCCTTGGCTAAATCTGCAGTAAATTTAGCTCAGTACAATTAAGGTTAAACAACTACACAAATATTTCATGCCATACGTATATACTTACTATTAGTGTCATCATTTGTCTCATATAACTTTTCAGGGCCAGAAAACATTGCCTGCCGAAGCTCGCCCAGGCCGGAGCAGCGAGCTATTCTTTCCCCGTGGCCTATCACGTACTGTGGAAGTTTTTCGAACGGCTTCATCACACAGCTCTTTGGTTTTGTCTCTGGCTTCATATGTCGGTTAAATTCCCAGCTTCCGCCGAAGCGTTGACCGCAGGTTTCACACTGGAGGTGCTTGATATGAACACCTTTTATATGGTTACTATACTGCCTGTTAGAAAATTGCATTTGTGGGAAGGAGGGAGTGTATTGAGTACCAGAGACACTTTTCTGATGTGCTAGTGCTGAAGCCACAATTGTACCAACACAACAGAATTTTAGACTCTTTTCTAATCCCCCTCTTTGCTTTCCTGATAGTAGCTCTCTCTCTAGAGATAATATATTTCGGTATAAAGAAAGCCATTTCTTTATTCTTGCTTGTACCGTGCCTGATTGCGAGGATGACGTTAAAAGGATATGGTATATAGGGTGTACGTGTATAGATCAACAATCTGTGCGAGCTTTTCTTATCCGACTGGTACGGCCTGTTGTGTGTGTATAATAGTAAACAGGAGGCCGTGATTGAAAGAAAAATACGATGATAGCCTTTCTTTCTCTGGTGACAGGGTTGAAGGTGCTGGGTTAAGTCTTTATGTTACTTTAGCAGTTGATCAGATGTAGATATATGGTAAAGCCTTAAGAAATGGCCTGCTACAGATTTTTGAGTACACAGACACGTTCAGCTAGTAGAAATCTCTTCATCTTTGAAGCAATCGGCGGTAAGTATATATCGCGTATGTGAATGTTAGGATATCTCGATTTTACACCGTTGATGTACTAGGAATTCCAGTACGACCCAGGGATATCGGATAAAGGGGAAGCGTTCTTTTTTTTTTTAGTCGACCTTGCCACTCCCAGATTTTACATGTGGTAAACAAGTACATATATGAGACATATCTCCGGTTCTATATTGTGTTGCCCAACACTGGCAAGGTTATATGATTGGTTGGAGAATTGTGCTGTGAGAGGTCAGTTCAGAAAGATATTTCCCAACTCGACTTAGTTGCTCCTGTGAGTGGGGAAGCGTTGAATATTTCTTTTTCTTCCGTTCCATGAACATTTTTTTCCCCCGGTTGTTGTTTTTGTTTTTGTTTAATTCATAATTGCCCCCCCAATTGAATATTTCTATTTCTTCCTGTCTGAATTAGCATTGGACGGCTTTCTATCCTCCGTCCTTTTATTTCCCCTCCTTTTCTTATTTTCCTTTCTTTTCTCTTCCGGCTCATGAATCAGCATTGGATCTGAACCGCCTGCGCTCTGCCTATTTTCTTTTCTTTTTCTTCCGGATCATGAATTAACATTGAATCTCCGGCGGCCTTCTTATTTTCCTTCCTTTTACTCTGCACGATCACCTATCCTTCGCTCTTATGCTTCCTTTTTCTTGTAGTACTCTACATGATCTTTCTATCCTTCGTCCTTATACTTCTTAGGTGTCGTGTCTTTTCCTTTCCCCCTCATTTTTGAGTATTCAATGATCAAGCTTATTTAAGGCGTCAGCCTGATCGCTAAACCAGATATATACGTAACTCACCGAACCATATAGGGTAGCTATGCTCTGTTGAACACAGCTCCTGTTTGTTCTATAGAGAGGGATGTTTGGTTCGATGACTATTTCGACTGGAACTGGTCGCCTATGGAATACTAAATTCGGATTGCTCGCATGTTCGGGATTGGGGGTCCCGCTTCTGCGTCCGCTGCGTTCCATATGGTTGGGGACGCTGTACCTCATAGCTAGCTCGCTGTTTTCCTTTCTGTTTTCATCATCATCCGTCGTTAGTATCGTCAGACAAGTTTTCAGTTTGATTCCTCCCTGGCAATAAAATAAGATTTTTTTCATTTTGTCATTTGAATCGTCGTGAAGCCGAAGACGAAATTAGAAGAAAAAAGAAACAGAGACAGAACACGATAAAAAAACCCCGCCAACAACGCCTGTAACCGGAGTACTCGTGACATTGGTTTCTGAAGATCATTTTCCCAATCGGGTAATTATTTAATCACTTTAGACCGAGATTGAGTGCCAAGATGTGCCAATACCGAAGTTTGACACTGCAAACCCCTTTAAGCTTACCTCATAGGGACTGTTACAATCAAATCGGGTAAGATCTTTGTCCCAAATAGGCAATTACGGGACTGAGATTCGTTTGGCTCTCCACCAAAAATCCAACTTTTAGAAAACTAATAGCTCCACCACAACGAAATATAAAATCAATCTGGCCCTATTAGGGTGTAAAGAAGAAGCAGGGCTATCACTTAATAGAGAGAAAAATAATTTAGGGTATGGTTGGGGAAAGCCATTAGCAGTTGAAGTTGACCCCCGAAAGTGGTCCGGTTACAGGGGTCCCCAACCATACCCCGATCGCCACGCCTTAATTTCTCAGCCTCATCACACGCTAAGACTTGGCAAGGGCAACGGTCGTCACGTTGTTGGGCGCGCAGTGGTATAATAGGTGCCAAGGGAAACGTAGTGCTTAGTAGTCTACTATTTTCTACTTCTTGTACTATGTACTAGAATACAATTTTTATTAATTCGTTGCGGTCTGATTGGTCGACACCGACATGGGTGTTTAGTAAGCATGACATCAAAGTACTGAACACTCGAGAGGAGGAGGACGGGGGCCGAAGGCCTCTCATAATTCTAGAGGGAGAATTAAACAGAGGAGGTGGAATGGGGGGGCCGAAGGCCCCTATTGAAGGCCTTCCATAATTATTTGATACCAATAATCCAATAACTCGCGGTCGCAAGTTGGCACACCCCTAGTTATGTATGTACAGGTGTCTGTACTACGACTAACTCTAGGCCGGTACTATCTTCATCAATACCATGTATATGCCTCTTATCAGTCGAAGTTGATCCATCTCATATTGAAGAAGAGACTGATCACGTAGGTAGTAGTACAACAGCCGGCCAACAATGATTTTGGGACTCCTTAACATGACATCACCCCACCAAAGCCTGTCACAGGATGCTAGCTATACTGTAACGGGGGTCTATGGGTGTAGGAACTATAGTGCCCAGGAATACAACCAAGGCAAGGACGTAGCAAAAGGTATTCAAAACTATGGGCAATGGAGCGGCTGTACCTGGTATGATCAACCAGTTGAACCCTATGACGAGGCGTAGAATAAAAGTAGTATTTGTGTAGTAAATAAAAGAAGTTGCGTGAAGAAAGAAGGAAAGGAAGGAAAACATGAAAAAGCACGAGACAACACCCCTTTATATATCCAACCCCTAGTCCGTTGATGACTCATACCTCGCATAACGGAAACCAAAAGAACATGAAAGAAAACCCATTACAAATCCTAGCTCAACCGTGCGATACCTTCTATTCACGATCCGGCCTATCATTTTAGCCAACAGGTAATATTGCCGTTACAGACTACGCCCCCCTCTAAGGCCTACCTCCTGGTAGGCTTAGGTTTCCGTGGATAACGTTCATGGAATCGTCGAACAATATCAGGTGAATGCTCAAGGTCCGATAGCTGTTGCCAGGAGGCATCGTCATATCCCATATATTGTACCAAGTACTCAAACCTTCCCTTCCGTTTCCTAGAATCCAAAATCTCTTCACCTTGCCATTCTTCCTCCCCTTTGATCTCAACTGGAAGTAGTGGTGACTGTTGTTGTCCAGGTAATGGGTTACCTGCTTCGGGTGACAAAAATGAAACATGGAATACTGGATGGATGTTCATGGAGCGAGGAAGTTCTAGCTCATAAGCATAGGGGTTGACGATTCGTTTGATGCCATAAGGACCAATTCATTTCCAATCAAACTTTTGGAGGGTCGCTTTGTTAGAACATGTCGGGTCGACAAGAAAACTTTATCTCCTATATGATAACGAGGGGTAGGAGAACGATTTAGGTTAGCCGACTCCTCTTGTATCCTTTGCACCCGAAACATTTCGCTCTTCAGAAACTCCACCATGTCCTTCATTTCTTTTGCAATGCTGTTGGCCTGATCTTCCGCTGTCGTTTTGACATGTTCCAAGGGGCCAAAAGTCATCCTGGGATTTCTTCCCGAGTTGGCATAGAAAGGAGAGACTTTTGTTGTTTCCGAAGTATGATTATTTGTTGCGAACTCGGCTATTGCCAACAGCCGGACCCAATCATCTTGTTGGTAAGAGACATAACTTCCGAGATACTGTTCCATTATGGCATTGATCCTTTCAGTTTGTCCATCAGTTTGGGGGTGAAATGTGGTGGAGAATCGTGGAGATATTTCCAGGCGTTTGCAAAGTGACTTCCAAAATTCCGCGACAAATTGTGTTCCTCTATCGGACACAACCGTATCAGGTAGTCCATGTAGCTTCCAAATGTTATCGATATATAGCCTTGCTACTTCCTTTGAATCTACCTCTTTAGTCGTTGGTATTAGATGTCGCATTTTGGTTAATCTATCCACAACAACTAGGATCGCATTGTATCCATCACTCTCAGGGAGGTCAGTAACAAAATCCATCGAGACATGCGTCCATGGTCCATCGGGTATTGGCATTGGGCGAAGTACTCCGTAAGGCGCGTTGCGTGGTGCCTTGCTACGGGCACACACATTACAATTCCTGACATATCGATCGACATACTTTCGCATTTGTGGCCAATAATACTCCCGACTTAAGAGTTCCAATATCTTTGCTCTACCCGGATGGCCTGCTGATGGTTTATCGTGATGTTCTTTTAGAAGTCTCAGCGGGAGGTCATTGTCATTTGGTACGCAGAGTGCGTCTCAATACAATAGCCGACCGTTGTTATCTTCAGTACATTGGGCAAGTGAAATTTTATTTGAATGGCAAACGTCGCTTCGAAGCATAACGAGGATTTCGTTTGGGAAACTATCAACTTGGTAACATTTTGAAAATAACTCCTCCACAGTGGGCATTTTTTCAGCGGATTCATTTGATAAAGAAACCGCGAACAAACTTAACCTTGTATCCAAATTTTTTCCCTCCGGACAACTTGGTTCAGATGTGTTAACCATTCATCCCCCTCTTTAGGTAGGTCACCTGACCTTCTAGCCAATGCATCTGGTTTTGCTCCTTGTTTTCCTGGTCGAAATTGTATAATAAAATCAAAACATGAAAGGAATTCAGACCAACGGGCTTGTCGACGATTTAATAGTTTTGTCGTCATGAAATATTCCAGGTTTCGATGATCGCTGAAAACCTCAATGGGGAATTATACTCCTTCTAGATGATGTCGCCATTCTTCAAAACATCGAACAATCGCTAGAAGTTCTTTATCATAGATTTCATAGTTACATTCCGTAGGGGAATGTTTTTTGGAAAAGAAAGCGGCTGGATGTAAAACTCCTTCATCATCACATTGCGATAGAATTCCTGTTGAAACATAGTCGGATGCGTCGGTTTCCACCACAATCTTTTGATCTGGGTCGAAATGAACTAGTATAGGTGCTGTTGTGAACATCTTTTTTGTAATGGCAATATTATCTGTTGGCTAGGATGATCGATTGGATCGTGAAGAGAAGGTATTGCGCAGTTGAACAAGGATTTGTAATGGGGTTTCTGTTGTGTTCTTATGGTTTCCGTTACGCAGTGTATGAGTCATCGACGGACTAGGGGCTGGATATATAAAAGGGTATTGTCTCGTGCCTTTTCCTCTTTTCCTTTCTTTCCTCTTCTCTTCACACAATCTCTTGTATCTACTCCACGAATACAATTCTTGTTCTACCTCTCGTGATAGGGTTCAGCCGGTTGGTCATACCAGGCAGAGCCTGTAACGGGGGTCTATGGGCGTAGGGACTATAGTGCCAAGGAATACAACCGAGGCAAGGACGTAGCAATAGGTATTCGAGACTATGGACTATAGTACGGCTCTGCCTGGTGTGACCAACCAGTTGAACCCTATAACGAGACGTAGAACAAGAATGGTATTTGTGGAGTAAATACAAGATAGATAGATAGATATTTTTGTATTGCATAGAAGCACATAGCTTATCGCACGCCTACACTACCGCCAAAGACAAAGGAGAAGTACGTACAAATACCGCGCGACATGGTGTAGATGAACAGAAACTAAGCGACGAACAAAGTAACAACACTACAGTAGAAATGAAATCCCAAGAGCTTCTCCGTCAAACAACATAAAGTCAATCGTCTATATACCCGTTCACCATAAACCAGGATCATTACCAATGCCTAACAGGAAGTACTGCACGAAGGCGAGGCGAGAGACCGCCGAAGCATCAGGTGCGAAAGCATAGGGAGGGGGTGTCGATGGGGTCCCTGGGAGTCTGCTCGTCAGGCAGCAGGGAGTTAAGGTAGGAATGGCACAGAGGCCAAGTGTAGATAGGGTGAGCGTGAGCCGCTACCTGTTGGTGGTTTTTACAGTGGTGACCTTCGAACTCGATTTCCATAGTATATAGGGTAGTCGCAATCGTAGGTGCCGACCGTGTCTTGATGGAGTGGCCTCGGTTGTAGTACCGGGCCGATGGGGTTGGGTGAGTGGGGAAGCCGACTCGGTTAAAATGGGTTGCCTGGCTAGGGCCGTAAAGTGGGGTGAGGCCCCAACGAAGGGACCTCGCGTAAGGTGAGGAATGAATGTTTCGCGACCGTAAGGTCGCTAGCACCGTTGGTTATCGTAGGCTTTGGCAATGGGTATGCGCTGACCTCCAGACTATTGACAGGGTGCCGATACGACGTAGAGAGGGGTAGCCTTGAGGGGCTGGTCGTTTGGGTGTCGCGATCAGGGGCGCCGACGGGTTTGAGGAGGGGTGAGAAGAAGGACGGCTCCTAGTAAAAGGCTTCAACTCGGTAGATAGGGGGATGTTTCGCTCAGGGCCTGAGGCAATTCGAGAATCAGGATGTCGAAACGGGAGGGGGTCCTGCCTCCCGCGCGGTCGGGCGCGAGTAGATACAAGATAGATAGATAGATAGATAGTTTTATATTGCTTTGAAGTACAGGACTTATCGCACACCGGATCCTCCGTCGAAAACTTAACAAAGGAAAGAAAAGAAAAGAAACAAAACAACTTGAAAGGAAACGCAACGAAGAAATCATGAGAAGATACAAAAGAGAGAGTAAACCAAGGAAACCGATTATCATTCCTCCGAGTCCTCCTCGTCCATTTCGTACCAGTCGAGTAGGTTGGTTTTTCCTGCAAATTGTAGAATCAGGTCTACATTGAGGTTGGTGAATAGCCAGTTTTCCCAAGTGGGCGGCCCTGGGATTTTGTCCATAAGTGGCCCTCGTAGTTGTGTCCATCGTGGGCAGTCGATTATGGTGTGTTTGGAGGATTGTTCCGAGCCACATTGGCAGGGTTCGGGTTCCGTGAATGCTGCATGTCTGTCTATACTAGTGACTTGACATCGTATGCGGTGTATGAGTTTTGCTTTGGATCGGGGAAGTTTTGCTCGCTTTGGTTGGACTTTTAGGGTTCCTGGTTCGTGGTAGTTGATGGGTGGGATAGAGTTCAATTCTTCCAGCATGCGTTTGGTGAGGGTATCGTTCTGTATCCATCTCTCTCTGTGGTTACCTGGTTCCTGAAAGGGTAGCATGAGTGATGCGATCCGGTGTAGGCCTGTGCCTTTTATGTTTTTTATTCTGGTGGGGAGGAGTTGTATAAGTTCTTCGTTGAGTGGGTGGTCGGCAGGATGGCAAAGGATGCGTGTCCCATATTTTCGTGATTTGTGGTTGAAGAGGTGTTCGAGTGGGGGGAGTGCTGCCTCTTTCAACAGTCTTTCGGTTTTTGTCCAGCGGGGTAGGCCTGTTACTATCCTGGCAGCTTCATTATAGAGTGGGCATAGTGATCGGAGGATATGGTCAGCTCCCGTCCACTACGCCTCTGATCCCCATAAAATGGTGGGGAGGAAGCCTTGGACGACGAGGTGATGGATGGATTTTACTGTTGTCCCGGGGAGGTATTTGATGTTTCTGATTCTGCTTAGGGCTTTAAGGCCTTTGGCGATGGTTTCTTCGATGTGGGGTCGGAAGGAGAGGTTTGAGTCCAACCAGACTCCAACATATTTGAGTCTATCTTTAGGTTGGATTTGTTCATTTTCGATTGTTACCGAGTTCCTGGGAGTCGGGGTGCTTGACGTTGTGGGCTTGAAGAAGACCAGGTCAGATTTCTGTGGTTCGTATTTGATATTGAGGGGTGTTGCTTTCTTGACTCTTTCAGCCATTCTTTCGTTGAGTCTCTTGGTGATATAGAGGGGGGATTTTGCGAGTTGCACGAGTGCATCGTCATCGATATAGGTGGTGTTGGTTTCTTTGGGGGAGTTGGTGGGATCTGTTATCACCCCGGCATATATCATAAATAATACTGGGGATAGGGGCGAGCCTTGGGGTAATCCTGAGGTATATGGTTGTGGTTATTCCAGTTCGTGATTGAATTGGAATTGGAGTGTTCGGTTGGTGTTGAATTCCTTGCACCAGTTAGTTAGGTATGTTGGGAATTTTTGTTGTGTCATGATTTCTGCAAGTAGGAGGTGGTTGACGCAGTTGAAGGCTCCCTGTATGTCGTTTGTAAGAAGGGCTGGTCTGTCTGGGGTGGTTCCTGTAGTTGGTTTGATCAGGAGGTTTTGTTGGATAGGGGTGAGGGTTCTTAGTAGGGCATCAATCGCTGAGATTGTTGGTCTTCCACCAAACTGGTCTTTGCTGAGGGTCTCCAAGATGGAACCGGCAGTGCATAATCTTGTTGCCACTATCTTTTCCAGTACTTTGCTAAAGCATTGTA